AAAAAATTGTGTCGGGTATAACAAGAAGAGATAGATTCTCCCTCGGGTGCAAGGCTCGGTTACCTGGTTCACTCACTTGAGCGGCGGTGAAATTCTAAAAAAGTGTGCCATGTACTTGGAATTAGAGGTGTGATGCCCTCAAATATCGTGCCAGTGTGGTAGATCATTGGTGTGATGTCCATAAATTTACCAATCCATGAAAGACACAAAGATTTTATAAAATAGTCATTGGATGTCTAACATCGATGACAGGGGCTTGGAATGCTCAGATGCATATGCATGGCTTAGCGTGTGTTATGGGAGCCGGTGGGACTCGGGTTGCATTGCATGCATAAGTTCCTATCTCAAGGTATGACATGGAATTGTAGCATTCATTTATAAAAATTATGTATGTTAATGGATAGTTGATATGATGACATGCATGTGACATTTCATATGCATCTGGGTTGGGGAGTACCTCATTAGGAGATATCCTATTGAGCGCAACTATACTTTTATGGGGATAAACTTCATGTGTTGGACAGGCTCTAGCGGACGACCCTCACTTAGTCCCATGTTGGTGATAGAGTCGGGTTGCGGCTTTTGAATTACATTTTTTTTGTCTCTTGTATAATTCTATTTTGGCCTTCTATAAATTATGCATAAAACTTGTACTTTGACAAAGGTATGTAATGGGACTCTCTTTGTGACGCCCCTAAAACTTGGGGTTCTTTGTTAACCGTTGATCAACCATCAACCCACGGAAGTATCCGTGAATATTGTGTAACCCAACACCATGACAATAACATCCCCTTTACCGGGAATCATAACACACAGTGTTTGGACAGAGTCTCCCTTATAACTGGCACTCCCTAACGCATAACATGTATATATTTCAATGACATGACCCATCTAAGATCCAATGTAAATCAATTTATCCTCAATTATTGTCTATTTATATCATTTGAATAAAAGGACTCAAGACCTGTAGCAAAAGCATTTTAAGTTTTTGAAATTTGAAGAAAACCTACCGGTAGAAAAAGTCAAATTCCTATCAATAGAAGTGTCCGCTGGACTTTAAATTTTCAAAAACTGTAGGGAACCTACTATAGAAAAATTCTATGTTCTACCGGTAGAAAAACCTTATGGAATTCTTCTACCAGTAGGAACATCAGCATTTTACTGGTAGGAAAACTCACTAGAAATGTTCTACCAGTAGAAGAACTCAATGTTCTACCGATAGATCTTCCTAGTTTTCCCTCGATTCCATTTTATTTCAATTCCATTTCATTCCAACCTTTTACAACATTAACCCAAACTCATATAACATAAAATTTTATATCAAACATAGTTCATATGAGTTCGATTACAATCTCTTGCATACGATTACATGTCCAAAACTAAATTACATCTTATTTTTAGAAAACATAGTTTAAAAACCACATCTCAGCTTTTATTCATCAATGAGGGTCCAAGTGAGAGTCATCCACTGACGCATGTCCCTTAAAGGATGAGTCACGCTCAATAAGGTATCTCCTAAAGAGACTACTCCCCAACCTAGATGCATATAAAATGTTCACATGCAATTCAACAAGCAACAAATAATCCATTCAAGAATATCCAATTCATAATGGATCCTTTATGCCATGTCATGTTATGATATGAGACACACATGCACTTTAACCCGAGCGTTCACCGGCTCTCTCAACACGTGCAATGTCATGTGTATGAATCCAGGCATTCCAAGTCTTCTTCATTGATGTTACACATCCAATAACCATTTATAAATCTCATGTCTTTCTTGGGATGGTATTTATAGACTCACACTAATGGAGTGCGTATCCAAATCATCGGGTCTTGCACCCGAGGGACAATCTAGCCCTTCTTTCTAACCCCGACCCTATTTTCAATGCAATCTGTGTGACTCAGTCGAACTTTGGTCCAACTATCCCAAGCCCACGCATCATCCACCAATAATGGTATTTGATCAAACTATGCACACATATCCACACTCATATCAAACACCCACGAATGTGATGTTACCCGTGCATATGCAATGTAAATGTACAATTGCAATTTGAACATCAAGTTCAATATGTCATGAGTACAATATGAACAACTAAAATATCCATCAACCTTTTTCTATCATAAGCATATAACCACCATCAACAATCTCAATGTTAATATATCATATGCATATACCAACATCAACTCTCAAGCATGTTATAATACAATCGATGCAAATAACACACTTAATTCACATAGACATTTCATTAAACACCTTCAAGGCCTAAATATAAACACATAGTATGCCCAATTAATTCATTTCTCAAGAAATCACAAATAAGTAATTTTTACACACTCAATACATGCTAGAATTGATTTTAACTATTCTTAATACTCATTTTTCACATTTCAAATACCAAAGGTATGTGCTATACATGAGATTACGTCTCTAACACCCTACCCATTTCATATATTAACCCTAGATTAGAAATAAACCTAATTAGGAAAGGAACCCTACCTTTTGAAACGTAAAACAAGTTGTAGAAGCCTTCAAGAACCCAAATCAAGTCTTAGCCCTTGATTTTCCTAACTCGCGTATTTTGAACTTCGTCAAAATTCATGCTTTTTGGTACGTAGGTGTAGTACTCATCGCGTAGGTGAACTTTAGATCTTAGCCCAAGTCAATTCGATTAACGAAAAGTCGTAGATCGTAGAGAGAAGTTGAAGATCTTGATTTTCTCCTTTCTCTTTCCCTCCTATCTATTTGTGGAAAACCTATCCGAACAAATGGGGAGAAAATTTGATTTTCTCCCCTATTTATACTCCTGGGACACTTGGCCCACATTACGCCACACGTCCTCCTTTCTCCTGTCCGATTTCGTCCTGAATTAATTAAATTTCATCCTATTTTAAGTTCAAAATATTTTTATTTGAACTAAATTTAAATTATTTTTCACTTTTCGCAATTTAATTTTTGGTATCGTTTATTTTGGTCAGGTGACATCAGATCGCCTCGTAACACGCAAAAAATTGACTAGGTAACTAGATTTCACAAGAAGAATCCAATGGTAGGGTCCATTTTTCTATTCGAGTTCTAGAAAAATTTGAGTTTTTAACTCGTACCGTAGTGACAAATTACCATTTTACCATTTTCATAAAAAATGAAAATTTTCGAATTTTACACTCTAGGACATTATTATAGTGTAAAAAAATGAATGTTGTATGTGTTTGTATGGTTAAAAGGTGAAAAGGTAGAAATTTAGCAAAATCTAGGCCCTAGGTACCGGTACCTCACATGTATCTAGCTTCTAGTGGGCTCAGGTACCGATACCTATGCTCACAAGTATTGGTACCTCAATAATAGTGAACTCAGGTATCGGTATCTATGCTCACGGGTACTAGTATCCCACTGACAATAAACCCAGGGACTAGTACCAAGTCTTACAGGTAATGGTACCTGGCTTCCAAAAGACCTAGGTAGCGGTACTTCTTATCAAAGTTACCAGTACCTCTTTCCGAAAATTGAATTTTGAACTTTTTTCTTTGGATGATATAAATGATAAAATTTTAAGTCCTAGAATTGGAATTTGGACCTTGGATTGGTCATTTGATTAATATATACATAGGTTATGTATTGGGTAGTGCTCCCGTGCATAGGAGACTCTACTCAAATTTTATTTTTTTACGATCTCGATGAATGGGTTATACGGTATATATGGGTATTTTGTAAGTTGATAGGTGATCAACGGGTCGAGAAAAGATCCCGAATTTGGGAAAATCACATTACACCTTAAATTCTAAAGCACAATCAATCAAAGTAAAGCAAATCAACATAAATCACAATGTAAATGCTTAAAGAACTCATGGGCACATAATGAAATCAATAAGGACTTAAATAGATAAAATTTGTCTCATTCAAAAAGCTAAGGATTTTTTTTCTGCCAAGTTGTCACGGGCCCAATTAGACAACTACCCAAAATTACTGACATTAAAAGCTTCCTAAGAATACTGAAATCAAAATAAATTCCTAAACCAAGCTATCAACCCGAAGCATCTGAGGCATCCTCCTCTCCAGTCTCCAATCTGGTCTTGGTCTCATACTCCAAACCAATACCGCTATCCCCCCATCTCCTTAATTGTATTTAGGGGTTGCGCATAAATAATAATAGATGGAACTGATGCAGATGATGGCATTGTCTCTGTTGAAGTAGTGGCACCTAAAATAGGAAAAGGAGTGACTCCTAGGGGTGTCTTGCCTGGAATAAGAAACTTAAGTACTCTATGTGCTACATACTCAAAAGACATCTACTTTCCTTTTGATCCTGTACTGTGAATGCCTCACCTTAGAAATATCAGCCTCCATACCCCCAATCCTCTATTCTAGCCTTGTAACAAGTTGTTGAACTATTGCTCTAGATGTCGGAGGTGGATGGGCAGTAGTAGATGAAGTGGATGCAAGTTGCCTCGAGAACATATCTGCTCCAAGCTCCCTCACCTATTTGCTCTAGGCACCCTCGACATGGTAAAACTTTTCCTCTCCCCACAACTACTAATGGGCCCTTTCTCTGGTGATCATCTCCGATCTGTCTATACCTTTCACATGCCAACATTGATACACAACTATGTAACCATACATGTGAAAGGCATGTTCCCCTTTGGCTTTAAAGTAGTCGCATACTCTCTAATCACTCTCCATATTATATGTGCAATGTTGATCCTAGACCCAGTCATAAATTCACGCAATAAAATTACCTTGGGTAAACCAGGCTTCCTCTTAGACCCCTTCGGATACACGTTATAGTGTAGAATTTTATTCATAAGTTTGTACTCTGCATCCAAACCACCCTAGCTAAATGAAACATTAAATTGATCAGTGTTCTCATTTATGATTTGGGCTTACTCAGCAAGACTCTTAGTAGCAAAGTCTGGATGTGGGTGATTGATAGTGGAAGAGTCAGGCCTCACATACCCCTGTAGGTAGCTATTCTATGGGGGGTAACCTCAATAACACGACCTCAAACCGCAGTCCTAAGTATCATCAACTCACTATCAACAAAGCTCAAACTACCATAAAATTCATGATAGAGTGAAAGAATGTACCCCTCCATCTTTTCAAAGAAAAACTTAAGTCCTCGCTCTGTAATTTGACTTTCTATCCTGATATTAACCAGGCTCCTCTGTTCAACAATCCTCCCACAAGAGACCCCTCTTATAGGAATAGTTGCCTCATATTCAATTTTATGTCGCTTCTGTGACCCTAGCTGCTCAGTCTTAGTCACACAACCCTTTCCCTTCCTCTTTGCGACGAATAAGAAACCTCTATTCTTTGCCATATCCATTAATACTACTCCCAAAGTGGCAAGAGAGGTGAAAAAGAGTCATACCCAGAAGATCCAGTTGTGGGTAGTCAAAATCGATGGTTGCCGAGCCACCATTGTCATGTGTTCTCTAGAATCAATTGAAGAGAGTTAGGTGATTTGGGGAGGAATTAGAAGATGAGTTAGGGTGCTTGGGGGATTTAGGTAGAATGGGAGTTAGAGAATGGAGATTTTGGGTTGGAATGAAATAAAAGTACCGTCTAACTCCCTTTTAAAAGTCACAATTTTAAGTAGAATATAGATGAACCGGCATTATTTATAAGCGATTTACTGGTACCACGCTAGTTTTCTTTTTTTTTTTAAAGAAAATAAAACAAGACTAACATACTAAGTCCTGGGGAAAATTTACAATGACCCAAAACCTAACACTAATGCCATAAATTATATTCCATATATGCCCAAATTTCTCAAAGTGTATGCAAAGCAATTTAATCCAAATAGGTTAGATATATTATACAAGAAAATTTAAAGCACAATAAACCAATTAAATTTAAATCACAAAACCACTATCTTAGGCGATCACGATTGCATTTAGCTATATGCAATAAGTTAGCAAACCCCTAGGTTACCCCTTGTGGACGAATTTTGTTTCGTGAAGATTTTCAGAAAAGATACCTACAAACTTATTTTTCTCTATCCAGACATATTATTATTCCCTATTTCACTCATAAGTTATATGTGAGGGAATAATTTCACAGTTAAAGAAAAATATAACTCACACATATTTTTGAAATGAAAGACATCATTAACGTAGTTGGTGTATCTCTTATTTCATTTAGGTATGTACACTTGTCACAATCCCTAAGGTCAAATTGGATTTTTCTATGGTTGTAATGTGGCCTCGGGTGAAGGTTAAAAAAATAAAGGGCTATACGAATTCAAAAGAAGTTATCCCAACAATGTCATCATTGATCGAAACGGTGCCTTCGCCTTCTGATAAATCTTGTTAACAGTATATCCTTCATTTTTCTCTTTGTTTTCATAGCCTTTGGATTTTCCAAATGTTTTTGCAATTTCACACAATTTTCATCTTTTTTTTTCTTTATAGTTGAGCATCTACCAACAATTTTTCCAACATAATAACAAGTACATAACAATTCCCAAGATAACCAAGGGAAGGTTAAGTCTTTTATGCTTGTCTAGATTATTGTTTGTGGCAAAGAAACAATAATTCTTTTTGGCTCAAACAAGGATTAATTCCACAAATAGCATAAGTTTATTTTGAGATATAACCAACTAGTCACCTCATATACTCAAACCAAACAAAAATGATTAGATTATTGAGTGAGATTGAAATTGAAAGGCCAGTTTTTGAGTAAATGTATTATAACCCTTCAACAAGGCTCTACACAAGATTTACATGGCTTATACTATAGATGTTAAGTTTTTTAAGATGTGAATCTCATGCAATAAATCACAAAAATTACATGATCATACATAAATTTGTGTTTCAAATAAAAAACATGAGTATGATACTCAAATCGAATAAACTACTATAGAGTGCTACTATGCAAATAATTCAAGCTTCAATTTGATTATATAAACTTTCATAGTAATTACGAGAGAATAATATAATCTAGATAATTTTTTTCTTGACCATTAAAGTGAGAAAATATAAATGTTGTTCCTAAGCATAGGAAATGTATCATATAACAACTCAGAAAAATACCGATGTTGTCTCCTCAAGAAAAATTCTTGACAAATTTGATAGGTAATGTGAAAATAAAAGTAAAAATCTTTTAAAATTTAAGAAATAGTGAGAATTAATAAATTTGAATAAATAATATTCAACTAAACTAAATAATCGTACGATTTTATCTCCATGAGTAATAATTTCAACCAAATTTATAACTCATCAAAGATTGTATTCAAACTCACAAATGATATTCAACTAAGAATCAAAATTTAGAGAAGATGTAATTCAATGATAAAATTAATTTATGAAATAAGTTATATCACATTGATTATAGAGACTTTAAGAATTAACTGTGCCAAAATCTATTATCTACAATTAAGCAAAGGTCAAAGGCTCAAAGAATTAACTGTGTCTGTGACACCCCAAAATCCGGGGGTCCGTTGATTACCCATCAACCCGCGGAATACCCGTAAATACCGAGTGACTCGATATCACACCGTTATGTCTCATTTACCGAGGTCCATAACTTAACAAAATTTGGGCAGAGTTTCCTTTGTACAGGGAACTCTACCCAATACCCAACCTGTGCAACATAACTCACATGACCCATCTGAGGCCCAATATAAACAATGACCGCACCGGGTCCATTTATAAGTAAACATTGACCACACCGGGTCCAATTATCCATATTTATAGCAAAACATGCAAGGTTACTTTAACATTAGTGCATATATGTAATAGTTATCATTTAAATCCACCAAGGTCTAATAAGCCTCAATATACCTCAATTAGTGTCCATTTGTATCCTTGGAACTAGAGAAATCCAAGTCCATTGGTGTTCTTTAAATCAAAGAAATCCAAGCCTGGAAGCTTAGTGCATAGTTTGAAAAATTTCGGTTTTAGAGTCACCGTTCGAACAGCACTATTCACATTCGAACGTCCCTTGGTTTTGAAAAATAGGTAGCTCCCAGTACATTTGGTTCTCTGCTGGTTTTGCTGTTCAAAACTCGCACCATTCAAACATCACTTTACGTTCGAACAGAAAATGCAGTTTCTGTTCTGCTACAACTTCCAGTGCGGTTTTGACCTGTTTAGAAGTGGAATTGAGAAACTTTCATAAAAACACTTTTGTAGCCCTAGGTGTCTACTACCTACTGTAAAAATTTCAGATCATTTGGACGTCACAATAAAAAGTTATGGCTCAAACACTAAGCAGTGTCTGAAATTTCTGTGTAAACTGTGTATGATTTCAACCCCAAATCAATCCATTCCAAAACCAATCCAAACCAATCCAAGGTTATCCAAAACTTATAAAACATCTATTTGATACCAAATATAGTCAATACAAGTTCTAATACAACTATTTCCATACTTTTACATGCCAAAATGGAAATTAACCAAAAGTTTTACAAAAACTAAATTCAAAAGCCACAACCCGGCTTTTCTTCAACCAAGAGCCCCCGAATGAGAGCCATCCACCGGAACGTGTCCCGTACCTGAAATTGTTTCCCGTATAGGGTGAGCACAACGCCCAATAGAGATAAACCTATAGAGGTTACTCTTCCCCTAGATGCACATGCTCATGTAATCATCACACAAACATACAACCAAGCATTTCTCACACTTATGCATTCTATGATGGAATGCAACAATGCTATGCCATGGAATGAAGTGACACTCACCCATGCAACTTTATTCCGAGCTCTCTCCGGCTCCCCAACACATGCAAGTGTCAATTTAGTCGAAACCACCATTTATGTTACACACAATGGCGTTAATCACTCTAGGGTCTTGTATAGGGGTGGATGTTCATGGACTTACACCAAGGGCCTCCAACCCACACGAAATTTACGGACTTCGACCGAGGGTTCCGAATACACCCACACACTTTATGGGCCGAGCCAAGGGAGTGCGTAGCCCAATCACCGGGTCTTGCACCCGAGAGGTCGTCATGCCTCTTCTTGCTACCCCAACCCAATTCATCATGCAACCAAGCGGCTTAGCTAAGTCCTCGACCCAACTCTCCCAAGCCTTCCGTCAATCACCAAGTGTGGTATTGACGTCAAACATGCACTCACTCATGTAATGAGACACTTCCGTGCAAGTGCAATGTGATGTTCCATTGCACACAAAATAATGCTCAATATGCTTATGACAAACATATAAACATTTTCATACATCAATGCAATTGTATCATAAGTATATAACTACCATATCTCATTATGCTCAATATATCATTTCATGCATATGTCAATAACACGCTTCATCCAAAAACCATATCCTAAGCATATGATTTCACAATCACCCAAGCATGTTATAACATAGCATCATGCAAGTAACACACTCAATTTCACTAGGGCATTTTATCAAACATCTTATAGTCATTCAAGTCATGTATTCACATAACACATTCCAAGGCATAGTTTATAAAACACATAGCATGCCTTAAGTTTTCACCAAGTTACAAAATAATCACATGGAACCTCCATATACCAAATTCAAGCTAGAAGCTAGCCTAAGCTATTCCTATGCTAATTTTTTTTCACTTTCATACCCATAGACATATATGTATAACAATACATATGCATATACATAATTTTCACCCTTAGTCTAGCAACACCTAAGGTAAGAATAATCCAAAGTAGGAATAACCCCTACCTCTTAGGAGTGTAGAAAACCCCTAAAACACCAAAACCAACCCAAAAGCTTTGATCTCCAAAAATTCTTCCTTTGATTATTCGGTGAAATCACTTCCTTTTGGTACGTAGACGTAGCCCTTGACGAGGAGAACGATCTTTGTTCTTGGTCCAAGCGGATTTGAGCACTAGAATTATGTAGATCATAGAGAGAACTTGAAGCTTTCCCTCTCCTTTCCCTCTCTTTTCTATCGGCTGAAGAGGATGCTGAACAATGGGGGAAAAATCTGATTTTTCCCCCTATTTATACTTTAGAACACTTGGCCCACAATTGGCCACATGTCCATTTTTAATTCCGGGTCCGTTTTTGTCCCGAACAATTAAATCTCGCCCCGGTTTAAATCTAAAATATTTTTATTTCAATTTATCTTATTTTATTGCCCAAAATTTAAAATTTTATAAAAAAATTCGTGTACAGGGTCACCCGAAGCCCGATCGCTCCGTAAAATGTAAAAAATTTGACTATCTCAGAATTCGACGAAAATTGACGTGGTAACTCGATTTCGCGAGACGAATCCAACGGTGAGGTCCGTTTTGTCATCCGAGTTACAAAAAATTTCAGATTTACAACCCGAATCATGGTGACAATTTACCATTTTACCCTTTATTCATAAAAGTTTAAATCTACC